TATATCCGGTCAAGAACCTTTTTCTGCCTTTTCCTTTCGTGCTCTCTCCTCCTCCTCTTCTTGTTTCTTTGCCAGCTCACTTGCCACTGTGAAAACAGAGAGATCCCGTCATCCACAGCAGTCAGAACATGGATCTGTATGTATTTAACTGTTTTCCTAATTCTGGGTTGGATAAAGACGTACAGTCAGTGTAATCATACTCTTCATACCAGGGAACAACAAATGGCACAGACGTGGTTTCCTCTGTGACAAAAGAAAACAACACAAAATGCACTCAGTGAAACTTAAGATCAATATGAAAAAAATCCCCAAAACACACAAACAAAAAAAGTTGCTGCTAAAATATCTGGTGAACAAGGAAATGTTTTGTTATTTTTCCTTCTCAGCCATCAGATATATTTTTAATTTATTGTTTCGTTGGCATGATAATGTTATATTATTATATATTATATATAATATATGCAGGCAGAAAGTCATCTTACCAACAGTAATAAAGCCTTGAAAATATCAATCTGTATTTAACCCAGTTAACCAGTTAATATAACTGGTTAACCAAATAGAGGTTGATCAGGCAGTTAAAGGGTTAATTAGTCCATATAATACGAATTACAGAAATACATTTATTATGATAATATATGTTATAAAGTTTTTATAGTATGTTAATGCATTTAAGGGTTCTGTTCTCTGTCGTATATATCTTTTCTTTTGGGTGGGATTTCCAAACAGGATCTAAGCTGAGTTTTTGCACCCGATCTGTAAACCTTATAATAACACATGAAAACAAAATCCACCCTGAAATATTTACAGTAAAATCAGCAGGGTTTAAAAAGAAAAACAACTAAAATGAACAATAATGACGATGGGTACCTGGTATGTACATGATGACTTCAGTGGTTGTGGCTTCCTTCTTGGCATTATGTCCAAAAAACTTATCTGAGGAGATCACATCATATAGCAGAAAGATGTTTGGTAACAAAGTCTGAACAATAAAAAAAAAAACAGCACATAGAATTAATCTCCAAAAAAGGGACCTATTTGGATGCAAACTAACTCAAATTTTATTAATAAATCTAATTTCAACAGCTATTAAAAAATCAACAAAAATTAAGTATTGTCTACTAAATTTTAAACATCTCAATACAGA